AAAAAAAAAAAAAAAAAAAACCAAATTCCCCCCCCCCCCCCAATTACATGTATCCCAGCATCATCAACTATTCATGTGACGGAATCCAAAGAAACAAAACAAAACAAAAAAGGCAAATACATGGGGCACCTTAAAGACTAACCATTATATTTTAATGTAAGCTTTCGTGGACACGTCCACTTCGTCAGACATTAAGAGACAGCATGAAATGCACATGAAATATCAGTTGCACATTCTAAATGTTCATTGGTTACATGCAGTAACTGGCGCTATACTTGTTTTACAGTCCTGTTGTAAAACCGCTTCAAGAAGACAGAAAACAAAAGTGAAGTGGTTTTAAAACAAACGCCACTCTGAGAAATGCAAAATACAAAAATGCAAAGCACAAATAGTATTCAAAATCTAGTCAAAGCACTAAAGCATAATAATTCATTTAAAGAAAACCACACACAAGTGGCTAGTTATGGAGGGAAAGCCTGCCTGAAAAGAAAGGTTTTTGGCTGCTTGTGGAAGGACAGCAAAGATGGGGCCAGACTAGCTTCCTGTGGGAGGGAGTTCCAAAATCTTGGAGCAGCCACAGAGAAGGCCCTCTCCTGTGTCCCCGTCGGAGGCACCTGTGAGTGTAGAAGGACTGAGAGAAAGACTTCTCCTGATGATCTTAACACCTGAGCCAGCTCATAAAGGCAGACACAGTCCTTGAGACAGCTTAAACTCCAGCTTTTTACGGCTTTATAGATTAAAAGCAGCACTTTGAATTCTGCCCAGAAGGTGATCAGTAGCCACTGGAGCTGCTGTAATTGGGGGCAGTGGCAGTATATGGTCCCTGTAACAAGTCCCAGTCAGCAATCTAGCTGCTGCATTTTGGACCTGTTGAAGTTTCCTGACACTTTCCATTGGCAGCCCCACACAGAGTGCATCACAGTAATCCAGCCTGGAAGCAATAAGGTCATGTGTCACAGTGGCCAGATCAGATCTCTCAAGAAATGGCCATAGCTGCCACACTAGTTTTAATTGCACAAGTGCACCTCTGGTCACTGCAGAGACCTGCGCTGAATGAATCATTACTCATTGAATTTACTTCCACAGCAGATGTTTACATTGGACAGAGGAAATTTGTAGGATGATGATATCAGAAGATGAAATTTTGCTATAGGTTGTGGAGAGAAAGAACTTAATCAGTGCAGACAATTTGGTTGGCAGCTTCGTGTTTAAAATAACGTGTGTCCTTTCTACTTCTATTGAATTTTGTGCCTAAAATAGCTGCTGGAGACTTAACATTAAATCTGTCTTTATACACTACTTAAGAATTCATCAAGGAAAAAAAATATAGATCTGTAAAATTGTCCACAGAATTACATGAGTAAAAATCAGTAACTGGATTTGTTTGCTTTCTTTCCCTGCTGTAGAATATGAGTTCAAACGATGTTAGACAGAAATGTTTTAGTTTGTAAAGTATAATTTGTAAATATTGGATAGCATGAAGTAGAATCAATTTTAAAATTTGTAATGTACCTTAGGCAGCATAGACTAGCAGTATGGATTATGAGAACACAAACAACAGACTTTGGCAATGTTTGTTAAAACTTAAGCCTTCAAATTTGAAACCATCTGGAGCCCATGGTACTCCAGTGGGGCAATTATCTACAACAAATTCTTTTATGAAAGCTACTTTTCATGACAGAGTCAATACATACGGTTAACGGTGGTAAAGCTTATTGCATACAGCTGTTTGCATCAAATACCTGCCATGTGAAAAATGGAAAAGGACAGGGTGCTTACCTTAACTGTGGTTCTTCGAGTGGTTATACATACATTGGCTTCTGTACGTGTGCAAACACTGCCCACTGCACTTTCCAGAGCTTTAGCCTCAAGTCTTCTTTCCCCCGTTTTTACTGCACATGCTCTGCCCATTTATCGCAGTCCCAATGTGTTCGCCACAAATATATATATATATTGTATTTGGTGGGACAAAGTTGGGGACATGTGTGCCTTTTTATATGACCAGTCAGAGTAATCTGTCCTTTGTTGTGGTGCCTGTGATTCATATAATTGGGTGACTAACAAGGTCACTTACTGGAAGTGCGTTGCCACGCCAGAATTGAAGACAGACCTGTTCTATCAAATAATCCATACCTCTGAGCCTTCGAATCCATTCTATAGTGATTTATAAAGGTCAAAGATTGAGACCATTTTACTGCTCTGCAAATGATCCCTCTCATGAAGGCTGTTGAAGAAGCCAACAATCTAGCTGAATGACATTTGATATTCGATAGCAAATTAATTTTTGTGATGTTGTAAGACACTCTTATATTAATCACCCATTAGGAGAAACTTTGTAAGGATACTGAATAGCCTTTCTTAGGTTCTTGACAACATATAAAAAATCCAGATGTTTTTCTAATTCCTTTGTTCTTGATAAATAGAAGGCTAGAGCCCTCTTCACGTCTAAGGCATGCAATGCCTTTCTAAATCATTCTGTGGTGATTTGAAGTTGGTCATATCAGTGGCATATGAAATGAGGACACCACCTTTGGGATAGAAGAAATGTCAGTATACAATGTTACCTTATCTTTGCTAAATAGTATGTAAGGAAGATTGTACAAATTTCAGTGGCTCTTCTTTCTAGAAGTAATAACAATGAGGAATTAACCTTTGATCTGTTTTTGCCATAGGTTCAAAAGGACTTTCCGCAAAGACCAAGTACAGTAGCTGGAGATAGTTTTGTACCAGGGTAAGTATTTTTCAAATCTTTTAAGAATTTATTCAAAATTGAATTTTTAAATAACTGCAACCATGGGCGATGTTCAGGTTTGTGTGCTACTACTGCAGCTAAGTAAACCTTTAAATATGAAACCGACAATCATAATTGTTTGGGCTCGATAGCTCAGTGAGTTAAGTATCTGGCTCTGACAATCATAATTGTTTGGGCTCAATAGCTCAGTGAGTTAAGTTGGCTCTGGAACCAGAGGTTCAAGTCCCCACTGTGACTCCCAGAAGAGGCGGACTATGTGGGCTTGGACAAGGCATACAGTCCCAGGGCACCCCCAGAAGAAGAAAATGGTAAACCAATACTCAGTACCTTCTACCTAGAAAAGGTAAAGGTTCCCCTTGACAATTTGTCCAGTTGTGTCCGACTCTAGGGGGCGGTGCTCATCTCCGTTTCCAACCCATAGAAAAGAGTTGCCATAATTCAGAATTGTCTTGGCAGCACAAAATTATTACAATTGCTTTAAGTGCAGGAGAAATTTAAGAGTGGCTTGTAGCAACAGCGGAATTCCATTCTCATCGATTGATAATGCATGTTCTGTAAATTTTTTCCACTTGTATTCACATAACCATTTAGTACATAGTTTTCTTGCTTGTTGCAAAATGTGTTTTATTGGTGAATTATCCTCCATGCACTCAATTTCAGTTGGTCTATGTCCGAGTGTTGTACTGATCCCTTCTGACATGTTAGAAGATTGTGGCACAGTGATAACTTCATCCTGTCTTTTGCCATCAGCAACAGAGTGATGGACTAAGGCTGACATGGCCACCATGGAGATATTAAAATTACATCTGATTTGTCTTACTTGATCTTTACTATTGCGTTCTGAATCATCAAAAACGGGGAAGACGTACACATCAGGCACCAGTTTCAGGAGATTGTGAATGCATCTCCCAGAAAATTCTTTCCTTTGTTCATCCATGAACAATACATTTTGCATTACCTATTATTGTAAGAAGTGAACACATCTACTTCTGGCACTCCCCAACTGTTTACGAGTAGTGCATAAACTTACTGAGGGAATTCCTACTTGTGTGCCTGCATTAATGTTCCTCTCAAGGAGTCTGCTTCCTGACTGTTGTCTCTGGTGACTTGAACTGCTATTAGAAAAATGTGCTTCAAAATGCACCATTCCCACAGAAGGTGAAGAAGACTCATTTATTTTGTTCCTCCCCGCTTGTTTTACAGGCAATCCTGTTGGGTTTTGTTGCTGTTTGAGTCATTTCCCCACGTATCATGTTTTCTAATGCTCTCATTGCTTTGCATATTGCCAGGAGCTCTAGACCATTTCCCCAGGTATCATGTTTTCAATATTGCTTTGCATATTGCCAGGAGCTCTAGAAAACTGATATGATGATCCTTCTCCCGAGGTATCCGTATCACACGTACCTTTTTCTTAGGCAATGTATTCACCGTCTGGTTTGGGTTGCATCTGTCACTATAAGAACAGATGGTTGCAGCAGACAAAAGGGTATTCCCATCTTGAGATGTCTCCTCTTCATACACCATCTTAGGTATCTTGTCAGATGTGATGATAGAATAAGTCTTTTGAAGTACAAATCTCTTTTTTCATTCTAACTTCTGAGGTAATATGCTTGCAGAGGTCTCATTCTCAGCTTGGAACACTGTACATAACATACTACTCGTACTACTGTCATTAATGCCATTGAGTGCAATAATCTCTGTATTACATGCACTGTTGATGCTGGGGAAAAGCACACATTCTCATCATAGTGTATTTCTATTTATTCTTTCTTCTAGTGGATAAGCTCTTGCTGTAATCAGATCGAGGACAGCATCTATATATTGAATGATCTCACAAGATACTAGATGATATTTTTTTAAATTTACTTTCAATCTGAGATCTGACATAATTCAAAGTGAGAAGTTCACATTCTCTGCCAGAGTGTTC